AACGTCATCAGTCACGTGGTTTTTCCTGATTTGAAGCACGCTCCGGCACAGTGCTTCAGAAAAATATCTTTCCGAGTTTGAAGCAAGGTGTGGAGCCTCGGTATCAGAGGGAACATCACTAATTGTTACTTATTTTCTGTGTTTTTGTGTCACTCTGGTCAAATGGTCCCTTTGAGGAACTAGCATTATTCAAACTCTTGCAGCTTGTGTTGAGCTGCTTCCTTAAAATTATTTAACATTGTTTAAGAATACCTAATATTTCTCCATAAATTTACAGTATCTTGATGGATAAATCTGTGTTTCAGGGTGAGTCAAGTTTCCTGCGGAGGATAAATATAGTGTTTCAACAGCTGCAAGTGATAGAACATTAAGGTAAGGTTGTAAGCATTTGTTTTTGCCCACTACCACAATACTTAGTTAAAATTGCAATACCTCTTCTGGTTTTCAATCCAGGTGACCAGTTGGCCACTACAAATGCTTAATGTTTGTAAGCACAAAAATGTTAATCCACTGTTACAGACTCACTTGGAACTGAGTCGCATGTAAATAATGCATTTCTTCTTCATGGTGAATTTGCTTGTCTTAGTATTTTCACACAGATGGCCTTAGGTCTGTATTTCATGTTGCTCCTCTCTTTGGCCAGGGACACCCTGGACAGGTCGCCAATCTATCTCAGGGCTAACACATAGACAAACAACCACACATGCACTCCTATGGGCAATTTAGGGACACCAATCAACCTAAGCTGCATGTCTTTGGACTGTGGGAGGAAGCCGGGGGCTGGAGCCAATCCCGGCCGGCAATCGGGCGAAGGCGGGGTACACCCTGGACAGGTCGCCAATCCATCGCAGGGCTTAATGTGAATCAATAGAGCTGAATAACTTTTTATAATAACATGATGCAGTATACTGTAAGGTAGTGAATAATGAACACTGAATTCAAAGTCTAGGTTGAGTTTAATGTTACTGTTGTGTCTTTGTTCATAGGGAGAAGCAAGACCATCTAACGGTTGGTACCGGGCCATATAACAGACTTCCTTCTTGTTTTAGACATGTTCAGTTAATATAAAAAAGCTGTAGGTCTCAGAAGTGTTCATGAATCAGATCAAGCTTCCATTAGGCAAACAGTGGGCTTTTTTAAATTTCTCCCTGCCCAGCACATGTGGCCATATAACAGACTTCCTTCTTGTTTTAGACATGTTCAGTTAATATAAAAAAGATGTAGATCTCAGAAGGGTTCATGAATCGGATCAAGCTTCCATTAGGCAAACAGTGGGCTTTTTTTAATTTCTCCCTGCTCCCTTTCACACCAGGCTGTTGTGTAGCTAAGAGATGCCCTAAGGGATGGACCCAGTGTGATGACTACTGTTACAAGTTCAACCTCAATGAAAAGGACTGGGCTGATGCAGAGGTACAGTAGTTGGTGGAAGCATAACATCCTCTTCATGGTACAGGTTCAATGTGACTTTATTAGGTACACCATGTAATTCAGTGCAGCGCTTTAACATTTGTTTATGAAGTTTGTTTCAGTTTTTGGTGACATTGTTTTGAGAAGTTTATGGTTGCGGTAATGGTGAAAGGTAGTAGTGTACTGCACTAAAATACAGATATTGAAATGCTCATAATCCACTCCATCCTGTCTAGTAGGCTACAGGAAAATCAGTAGCATATTGTTCAGTAGGAATCCTAAATGTGTAGCTTATGGTTGAGGTTATAGTTCAAGGTGGTGCTGTACCAATACCACTTTCAGACAAGTCGAAGTAGATGTTGGACTGTTTTCCCTATAAAGTGTTGTGATTAGAGAGATGGCTTAATTTGACATGTCCACTTGGATAAATGGAATATCTTGTGAAACAGGAGGCTGTGCAGACTAGTTGAGACAAATGGCTCTGTCACCATGGCTATTTAAGAGCTTGTATATGTACCCCTGGGCCTCACAATCCATCCTGTTCTTCCCCTGAATCAAGAGAAAATGTCATTATTTGTAGCCATCAGTGAGAAATCAATGCAATCATGTTGGCGCCTCCACTCTTCTCTTACTTATAATGCATAATTTGTAAAGTCATAAAGGACATTAACACATGGTCCGTCCAGACCTCTCCTCTCTTAACCCTTGATGGTATGATCTGCTTTGATTGCTGTGATAGAAAATTAATTATTCTGTTTGCTGTGGAAGCTTAAAGCACGTCTTGCTTTTCTGACCCGTAAGGTGTACAGGTCCTCCATGGAGCGCAGGCTGGTACTGATGATTTACTCTGCAGTCCTGACTGTCCACTGGAGTTGTTCCTGTCCTGTTTGGTGGCCGACCCAAACCAGACAATGATGGAGGTGCAGAGAAGAGACTCAATGATTCCTCTGTATAACTGTATCAGCAGCTCCTGAGGCAGGTTGAACTTCCTGAGCTGATGTAGGAAGTACATCCTCTGCTGTGCCTTTTTAATAATAGCACTGATGTTGGTTGTCCACTTCAAGCCCCGAGATATTGTGGAGCCCAGGAATTTGTAGGACTCCACAACTGAAACAGTGCTGGTGAATATGGTGAACGGCGATAGGATGGAGGAGTTCCTCCTAAAATCCACTACTCTGTACTCTGCACTACACTGTGACATTAACATAAGTACCCTGTTGAGTCTATAGTGGTGAGCTAGACACAGTTGAAACTAATTACGAGAACACTTATTTAGAAAACGCTAAGCTACTGTTAGTTATCTGTGATAAGTTATGTGGTGTTTCAGTTTCTTCTCCCAGTCTAAATCAAAACAATAAACTGCATTTTAGCAAACAAATGAAGTTCATCCAACTCCTTCATGACTTCCTGCCCTGCAGTGAAGAGGACAGGCAGCTGTAAGCAGGAACAGCAGTGAGTGTGGACGTATATTCATACAGCCAGTCTGGACATGACAGCTGGACAACACTCAAACAAACACAAATCAATTGACAAAAAGACTAAGACTAGCCATAAATCTAAATCCAGTGTCATAATCTAACAGACGCTGTGCACAAGATGTGCAGAAACCTTTTTCAGTTGCACTGATTAGTAATTCATTTTCCTATGTGAGTTAAAACATTTGAGCCCTAATTAAGACGAATGCTCTGAAGAAGCATCACAACACAGCTGGGCACCAAGTACTGTAGCTGCTGTGCCCCAGTTTTGTGGTTAAGGACGATTATATTAAGCCACATTGTTTTGACTCTGATAGTGTCGACAGAGGCCATGACATCACATCAGCAACAGCACCATACATCAGTCTGTGTCACCATACTGGATGCTAGCTCATTAACTGTTTTGCCTGTCTGCAGCTATGACACATGCCTGACAGCTGGGTGTTGTTGGTTATAATTGCTGACAAGTGCTTCATATTATTATAATACATTCCCTAACAGCTATCAAAACTGCAAACCAAAACATGAAGTTGTAATCCACAACTAATGTCACACTGTGGCTGCCACTGTGTCATTGGTTGTGGTTTCCATAAGGAAAGTTAGGTAGAGTACCAAACTAGGTGGAGGAGGGAGTGACTCAGTTTGAGTGGGAAGGGCAAGTGTACTAGTTGCCTGACTAGTGCGAAGTTTTGTATCTGTAACAGCAATAGAGCAGGAACAGATACATACTGTATGTCGCTCTATCATCTGACATGATAAAGTTTGCAACCAACGGAATGATGATGTTACAAATCAATACTGAAAAACCTTTACAAAGATTCTTTTGGGTATGGGCTGCTCACAGGATTGTTATCTAACAGATCAGTCAAACAGCAACTGAAGTCATGTGCCATTCAAGATCAGTAGATTCAAGGTCAGGACAGCTCTCTAATTTATTCATGTGTATACAAACTCCTTATTATTCATGAACACATGTTCACAAACATAAACCTTTTCTGTTTGGTGGTATATTCAAGTATATTTCCAGGAATTACCAGACAAAGATGTACAGTATGTATGTGGATTACATATTTAACAACTAATGCAACAGAGACTTTTCCAACCATGTTTATACACAGGTGGCAGAATTACAGGTTCAGACAGCAGGGCTCCAGACTAACATTTCATACTGGTGACACTGTTGCCACCAAGTGTCTCAGATGGTGGCACCAGTGCCGGGTTTGGTGGCAACACTTCTGTTTAACCGCACAATGCAAAAAAATCTGTATGTTTTGCAAATTATTTTAAATAGTCTTGCCATCCAATGTCCATAGCCTATACTTATAATGAAATTAAGAGAAGGAGATTTATGGAACACAGTAAATGGGAAAGTGACTTCTGGAACAAGTTTACACCTCTGTTTATGTAATGCTCTACAGTCCAGCACTCCCAACATCATGATAATGATGTCGAATGATGAATTCAGTTGAACTATAACGGATGATTTGTGTGCATGCTTTGCTGTTTGTGATTTAGCCTATTTGTAGACTTTTTTTTTCTGAAGAAGAATTTCTGCTCTTTGGTGATGTCTGTGTTGGACTTCATGCACAGTTCAGCTCTCTCACTCACCTGGCCATCGCCAGCTCATTTTAGCCACTGAAGTGATGTGTTAATGTGCACATAGTCTACTCTCAGGATACTGCTTTGTTATTCATTTGCACTCTGTACTGTACATATGCAGATACTGTATATTTATCTTT